ACACACACCCTACATTCTCTCACTATCTTCGCGCACGAACCCAGCTCCCCTCCTCCTCCCCCCTCCTGCTCCGCACACACACCCTACATTCTCTCACTATCTTCGCGCACGAACCCAGCTCCCCTCCTCCTCCCCGTGCCTACAGTGGCGACACCTACAGGGAGCGTAGAACATGACGAGGGCGTGCTTCTTCCTCTTCAGCGTCGTTCGGAAATCGTCGTCAGTGAGGTGAACGACGTCGCTCAGCACCTCGCTCCACGCCGGCTCGGGCGGCGGCGGCGGCGGGGGCTCCTTCGGGCTAGGGGGGCGACACAAACAGGGGTGGAAATTAACTTTTGAACAAGGGACGGACTCCCTGCCCTCAAAAAGAGGGAGTCTGCAGCAAAATGAGGGAGTCCGCAGTCTGAAGTTAAAACTAAAGATGCAAACAAACTAACGCATGTGCTTATTTTGAAGATTCGTGCAGTTGCATGTCTGCCAAATTTTGTTTGGGCATTTGCTGAAAAAATACGGTAATTCCATGAGGCCGTGCTCTGGAACGAACTAGTTAGTATAGCAGAATTTTCAGGGAGTCACACGCATGCTCCTGCTTATGTAAAATCAGGAATTCCGACAGTAAATCAGAGAGTATTTGACTCGGGACATTAATATTTGCACCCTGAACACAGGTTTTTTTATTACAGGCTACGTTGCCGCCGAAACGAAAAATTATCGGGAAAGCGCATAGCGAGTTGCTTTCAGAGATTTTTCAAACACCGTTACATTTTTTTACATTTTTTTATTGGTTCTAACAGGTTCAGAACACAATGGTTGATGGGTACATCACTGCGCAACTGAGAATGAGAAAAATTTGGAAAAACAAACAAAACAGACAAACAAAAAAGGAATGACAAACAAACGAACAAACATACAAAACGAATAAATGAGCGAACTAAGAAACGAGTTAACAATCGAAACAAAAATACAGCAAACAAACAAAACACACACACAGAGAAGCGACTCACTCCTTCATGAACTCAACGATGGCGTCGGCCGTGCGGTCGTTCACCGTGTACTTCGCCTCGCCGTCCGCAAAATACTTTGTCGTCGGGAAGCCCTTGATATCGAATCGCTGGCCGAGAGCATTCTCCTTCGTCGTATCCACCGCAGCAAGCGTGCCCTCCACCTGTCGCAGATCACGTAGCGCCATCGTGAGGGGAATTACGGAACTAAGGTAACCTCCTCCTCCCCTCCCCCTTTTCTCCCTGCCTTCCTGTCCTCCCCGTGCCCACACATACACGCTTAACCCGCGACTGCCCTCCTCCTTACCTCCCCCCCCCTTGCCCGCACACACACTCGCCCTGCGACAGCCATCCTTACCTCCCCTCCCCGTACGCTCACCCCTAGCTCCTTCAGCGTGGCAGCGGCCTGCGTTAACTCTGGCTTCATCTTCTTGCAGTGGCCGCACCAGGGCGCATAGAACACCTCCTCCTCCTTCTGTTCGTCTCGCATCTTCGAGAACGCACTTCTCCCTCGCTCCCTTTTCAGCCCGAAGCTCGCCGCCAGGCCCAGTGCCGCAGCGAGGCTGCTGTCGGGCGAGGGAGATTCGGACGTCAGACGTCCACCTTCGACGAAGCGACAGAACTTCGACCGAGTTCGTCGCGGCCACCCACCCCCACGTCCACGCTCGATGCATGTTTCTATGCCGCCTTGGTGCGGCCACTGCAGAAGATGAAGCCAGAGCTTAACGCCAGGGGCCGCTGCCACGCTGAAGGAAGTAGGGGTGCGAGCCGTACGGGGAGGCGCAGGGAGGCCGAGGGCGAGGCAGGGGAGGAGGAGGCAGGGACGGAGGCGGCGGAAGGAGGTGTTCTATGCCGCTCTGGTGCGGCCCACTGCAAGAAGATAAGCCAGAGTTAACGCAGCGCCGCGCGGCACGCTGAAGGAGCTAGGGGTGCAGCGTACCGGCGGAGCCGGAGAGGAGGGAGGGAGAGGAGCGAGGGCAGGAGCGTTTCTATGCATCACCTAGGTCGGCCACTGCAAGAAGATGAAGCCAGAGTTAATGCAGGCCGCCGCCATGCTGAGGAGCTAGGCGGTGACGCGTACCGCGGGAACGTCGGAGAGGCAGGGAGCAGAGTGGAGGGAGGAGGGAAGGAGGCAGGAGGAGGACGGCGGAGGAGGAGGCGTGTTCTATTGCCACCCTGTGC